TTTTTGTTCAGATTTTTTAGCCTAGTATAAATAGCTTTTGTTTCCATTTTTAGGGTATCAGATATTATAATTAAGCAGCTGCACTCGTGGGTTCGAGATTCTTAGCCATTTTGGGCACTTTTAGCTACTTTTAATCATTGAATCTTTATATTTAACTTAGTGATTAATTAATATGAGCTTTTCTTCATCTATTTCTTGCTTGTCTTCTTTGAATATGAGTAACTAGACCCATAAGCTAGGGTTGTGGCTCAACCCTAGTGTGGGTAATTGATAGGTCTTGTATTTTAGGGCTAATTTGACTATGGATGTTTGTTATTTGGGCCAATTTCATGGTTAATTTCTGAATTAGTGGTTGCAAACACTAGTTTGTGTTGAGTTGACTTGAGCTCTTCTTGAGAAAGAGAGCCTAAGTCTCCGAAATTGGTCTTACAATGAATTGGGGCGTACTTAAGGTATTGATAGCCCCAATTAAAGGGTTAAACCTCGAGAGAGTAATACCCGAATTGAACCCTCGTTGCCTGTGCAAATTTGCATACCCAATTGGTCTTGAGAAAGCCAATTCGGGCAAAATCACTCGAACCACCGAGAGGTGTAGAGTGGGTAAAGTCGTGCAACGGTTATAACATACTCCCCAAACGTGTCAAACGTGCCTTAGATTCAAGTACCCGTCAATTGACCACCTAGGCGGTAGTCACTACCCTAGTGCCTTTTAAACCTATTTGAACAACTCATAGCATTATAATTCTTAGCATAATTTAGTTGCAATTACCAATTGTAGTTTGATAATAGTAGAAGTAAACAAAAAACCCCAAAAATGAATAGAAGTGTAATTTGGAACACATACGCAATTCTACACTAGATAGATACTCGATTCCAAATTCTAGCTCTCTGTGGAGTCGATCCCGACCCTAAATCGGGTAAAAGCTACTCCGACCCTCTCTCGCTACTTAAATAGTAGTGCGGAGTAGGCCGCGATCACACAACATCTTTGGAATGAAAGATAGTATAGGTAGACAAATTCAGTAGTTTATAGGCTTTCTTACCAACACTATAGCCAATAAAAACAGCAAGAATAGTTCTACACTTAAATTTGTCTCTATAAGGCTTAGGTACTGTAGCAAAACACAAGCAACCAAATGCTCTAAGGTGAGAAAAGGATGGAGAATACCCATGGGGAAGTTCAAATGGTGATTTATGTTGAAGTAAGGGAGAAGGGAATCGATTAATGAGATATGTTGCTGTTAATACACACTCACCCCAATATTTTACAGGCAACTTAGATTGAAAAAGAAGTGCCCTGGCAGTTTCAAGAAGATGCTTGTGCTTTCTTTCCACCACACCATTCTGTTGAGGGGTGTGTGGGCAGGAGGTTTGATGTATGATGCCATGAGTAGAGAAAAAAGAATAGCTTCATTGCTGATGCCTAACTCAAAAGCATTATCAGACCTTATGGTTTTAACATTAGTATCAAACTGAGTATGGACTAACAGAATGAAAGACTTCAAGATAGAGAAAGCATTGGCTTTAGAAGATAAGAGATGACACCAAGTGGCCCTAGTAAAATCATCTACAATAGTCAAAGAATATTTAAAGCCATTGTGAGTATGAGTGTGGTAAGGTCCCCATAAATCTACATGAATTAATTGAAAAGGTAAAGTAGAATGAATAGAACTCTCAGGAAAGGGTAGTCTTTGCTGTCGAGCCATAGGACAGATAGGGCAAAGAAAAGTTTGCTTTTGAGGTAGTTTACCAGAAAGATAAGGAATGTGTTTTAATTTAGCAAAGGGAACATGTCCTAGTATCAAATGCCATACATGATCAACAGACAAATTAGAGACAACACAAGCATCAAAAGCAGGTAAAATAGAATGAGAAGTAGTAAGTACAGAGGGATAAGAATGAAACTGCTCTTATTCATATCATTCGTGCTGGCAGTTATGGTATTTACAGAGGAAGATGCAGAAAAGTCAGAATTGCCAAACTCTTTAGTTTGTAGAATGTAAAGACCCTTCTGAAGTTTACTAAGAACCAGAGGCTTCTTCAGAAAAGGGCCATGCAGCAAAGCACAAAGAGCAGGAGTAAAAAAAGCATTACATTTCAGATGAAATAGCAATTGATGTAAGGAAATAAAATTGTAATGGAAAGAAGGAACTAGTAGCACATGAGGGAGAGAAATATGGGAAGAAATGTGAAATGATCCAGTACAAATTACCTTAACCTTATAACCATTAGGAAGAGTTACAAGGTAAGTTAAGGGTAAAGGTTTGATGTTGGTAAGTAAGGATTTGTGAGGGGTCATGTGATTAGTAACACCAAAGTCAATGATCCAAAGACTATCTTCTAATTTAGAAAAATTGCAAGCAGGAAAAGCACATTTACTAAAATCAGTAGTTGCAAGCAAACCTGCAAAAGTTAGCAGAGGCAGAAGCAAGGTCTTGAGGAGTGGAAGTCAATTTACTCAGCTGAAGAAGAGAAACCAGCCGCTCATAATGCTCTTTTGATAAAATATTAACCCCAATCTCAATTGGAACAACCTTAGAACCTTCAGGACTATGGCTGTCAGGTGCCACTGCTGGAGTTGGATTTGTGACTTGAGTACAAGCTGCTGTCCTCTTGAATTTAGGCCCATGATTGGGAGGATACCCATGCAACTTATGACATTTATCAATTGAATGGCCTGGCTTCTTACAATATCTTCACACCATATTAGTATTCCCCTTCTTATAAGACTCAAAATTCACCTTAGAAGACTCAAAATTCACTCTCATATGATAGGGCTTCTGAACACCAAAAAAGAAAGAGGCTGAGTCAGAGTTAAATGTCGGATTAGAAGCCTGAACCTCCACTTGACTCTCATCCTCGATTAGCATTGCATAACCACTATCTATGTCAGGTAAGGGTTTCATGAGCAGGATATTCCTTCGAGCACCAGAATAAGACTCATTCAATCCCATAAGAAATTGATGTACCTTTTGTTCCTCTTCTAACTTCTGGAATACCTCTTTACATCCGCAGGTACACTCTGGATATGATATGGAATAAGCTAGTTCATCCCATAGTTTCTTAATTCGATTGAAATAAGAAGAAATATTGGAGGCTCCTTAAGAAATAGAGGCAAGTTCCTTCCTAATCTGAAACACCTTGGTTCCATTTGGTTTTCCATACCTTTGCTCAATTTCCTTCCATAATTTCTGAGCAGACTCAGTGTACATTACACTTTCTCTAATTTCTGTCTCTAGACTATTCAATATCCAAGCAGTCACCGTGTCATTACAACGACACCATGATTCATACAGGGGAGAATTCTCATTTGGCTTAGCAAATGTCCCATTGATAAGCCCAATTTGTTCTTACAAGACAGTCCCATCAACATACTTCTCCTCCAACCCCCATATCCAGTACCGTTAAATGATTTGGTGACTAATACTGTCTCAGGGGAGTCGGAAGGATACAAATATAGCGGATGAGATGGTTCGATCGTAGAAGAAGCAGTGGAAGAAGAAGTTACAGTCGGAGGATCACCAATCGACCCCATACTTCAACAAAACTAGCAATTAAAGTCACAATTAACACATGCTGTGAAGAAATACCACATGTTCCGAGGAAATATTCACCCACATTATATACAATTGAGATTGAGACAAAAAACGCCAACACGGCTCATGTGAAAAATGAGAACAGTAAATCAGAAGGAAATGTTACCGAATTTCGTCAATGTATTTGAGCGGAATGGAAAACATGCCAAAAAAATCTGGCTGAAAACTCGCCGGAGAGCCTCACTGTAGCACGGTCGAACCACCGCCAAAAGCAAAAAAAAAAAAAAAACGACCAAATCAATCAACACGGGGAGTGTCGATCGAACAACATGATTTGGTTGGCTCTGATACCATGATAACATCTGGAATTCGAGTCAAAATTCAGTGCAATTTGTAATGAGAAAACCCTAGTTCTTAGCTAGGAAGAGAAGAAGAGACTAGAAGCAAAATTCTGGATTCATCTTATTTATGATGATGTCAAAACTGTACAAAAAGAATATATGGGCCTGTTTATATATTTGCAAATCAATCTTATATAAAGGGACTAAACTAATGGACTAAGGAGGCCTTTGTTGGGCTAAGGCACTCTTGTTGGGCCTTGTGTGCATTTTGGGCTGAACTTCATCCTGGAGTCCAACAATTATTGCTCAAATCTGCTTTTTAAATTAATTAATCAAATACAAAATGTTTTTGTACATTTTAAAAACTGATTTTAGATGTTTGGCCAAAAAGAATACTGGATTATGTTACTTGTGCTAGAATTTTGAAGGAATTTTCAAATGAAGGTCGAATTGGCTTGAGTTAAATACTTGAATTCTAAATATAGCCTGATAAGGGCGTGTTGAGCTGGCTGACCAATTCGTTTTGACAGCTTCTTTGAAGCAAAAAAGAAGTTAGCTATCAACTTTTTTGAGAATATAAGAAAAAAGAAGTAGAAAACAAACCGATGATTATTGGAATCCATAATACTTTATTGGACAAAAGAATACTCAAAACTTTTAATAGCTAGCTAATAATAATGCAATGTAAGAATTGTATATTTTGTAATTTTAACCAAAATTGCAAAACTGTCCAATTTCAAGAATCATCTAGTGCCACGTGTCAAGCAGATGTAGATTCTAGAACAAATTTTCTATACACACAAGCAATAGACAGACAGAAGGAGCGAGAGTGTCGTCCAAGTCTTTTAACTCTCAGATTCTCTTTCAATTTCCGTTTCTACACCCAAATAAAAAAAAAAACGATTACTTCTTCCAAATAGAAAAGAAACAAGCAAAGAATAGCACATAACTAAATCAATTTACAACAAACAATATTCTCAATTATAAAGGCTGAACCGTTTTTGCTTTCCTTTTGTTGAAAGGTAAGTCAAAACTAGTCCTTCTTCTTCTTCTTTTGTTTATCAGTTATGTTGCGAATCGAATCTTTTTTTTTTTTTTTTTTTTTTGTGTTTATATCTGATTAGTTTGAATCGTTGCATTATTCTTTCTATCAAGTCTTAGTTTTGCTGCCTCTGTGTGTGTGTGTGTGTTTTTTTTTTTCTGTTTTGGCCCTGTAATCTATTTTTCTGTATTCTGCAGTTTTGTATGGAGAAAGTTCTTTTTCGTGGAATGTTATATATTCGAAACTCATTTTTTTAAATCCTTTTTCTAGTGTTTGATTAGGTATAAAGTAGGTTGACATACGAGAATCCTACTAGTTGTAGAACAGGGATTGAGGATAGTATTTTCGTGAAATTTTTTAGCAGTAAAGGTTGGCAGTTATGTATAGATATTGATGAAGTAACTGATAGAGGAAAACAATTCGGTAACCTAATCTATGTAGCCCGGTGCACAAAGCATTCTGCATTCACGTAGGGTCCGGGGAAGGGCCGCAACCCAAGGGGTGTGATGTAGACATCCTACCCTAGCACAAGCATTAGTGGCTGCTTCCACGGCTCGAACCCTTGACCTATAGGTCATACGAAGACAACTTTATCGTTGCTCCAAGGTTCCCCTTCTGATTTTGTATCCTAAAACGCTGTGAAATCGAAAATTTTACAGAAACCTATTTCTGGTAAATTGGTGTAATTTGATCATCTTTTTCCTTATGCTTTGTTATGTTGAATTACTGCATCAAGTAGAAATTTTAACTGATATACATGATTCCATGATAATGCTTTTGGTTAAGAAAAGGGGTCTCAACAAGAAAGTCCAAAAGCAACTCTTATGATCAAACTGTATTAATTGTACCTTACTAGAGCCAACTGGATAGACATAATTTCCTTTTATTACATACTGATTCCTCAAAGTGTATTACTGGAACTCTCAAAATCTCAACTATATATGTTGAAGGCTAAGACTACGGCTGAAATGTGGTCTAGTGTTTATATTGGGTTTAAACTCATGCAATTTTTTGAGTTTCTAGTCAAAATAGAGAAGTTTATAAGTTAAAACTGCTATGGTGTAAATACTTCTGCCACGGCAAACATTTGCTGTCTTCGTTGGACTGATTGCCATGTGAGACCGCCTACGTCATGCCTAGTTGCCAACTCTGACTGTACAATTTTGCTTTATGTCTGAAGCTGATAAATAGCATATTTTTAAGATTGATGTAGTTTATATTTCATATTTCCTCTCACAATTTTCAGGAGAAATATAGTAGGGACAAAAGTCGAAGTAAGCTTACATAAACTTTTTAGGGGGGGAGGAAAAGCCGGTATTCTTTCTTCTGCAGCAACTTTAATGGAAATCAACGCTTACCAAACTCGCGCTGAGCTTCTTCTTCGAAGCTACATGCTTTCAGATTCTTTCATTGTCTACTCTTCTGTTATTGGTGGCATTTTCGCATGCAAAATGGTATGATTAGTCCCTCTTTGTATCTTAACTTCTAATTGAGTAGGATTTTGCATTTCTGCGCTTGAATTTAATGTGTAATCATGTTTACTGTGCTCAATCCTCTTGAGAAAATGTATATTTCATTGTTTTGTATTACTAGCATTTCTTAAATACCCGGTTGTTTCAGGTATATGATCTTAGCCATATATTCACCTCTATTTACTTTAAGGGCTATGCTGGCCTCTCAAAACCCCAACAAGTTGAGTGGAATAACCGGTAATTAGTTTATTCTTTTCCCCTCATTTTACTATTCTTTGTCATGGTCAATTAAATATAAGCTTCACTTATGGTGTAGGTCCATATCTACGGTCCATGCTATTTTCATTACAGCCATGTCACTGTATTTGGCATTCTGGTCAGATCTTTTCTTTGATGATCAGCTCTCTGGCCTTGTCACTATACGGAGTTCCACTTTATCAACCGGCGTATTGGGGGTGAGTGCTTTATTATCCACTTATGTTCTTGTTTACCTATCACTACTGGTAAAAAGAGGGATTGTGCTATAAAAATGGTGACTGATTGGTATTAATTTGTTGGTAGAAATAAGGAATATATTATCACATTAGTGTATTTAAATTTTCGTTAATAGGCCTTTTTGAGCATCACTGAGCTTTGATGTTAGTTAAAGTTCTGTTCATACTTCTGTTACACTGCTGAAATTTCTAATAGTTCTATGGAGTGGTCTTTTCAAGAACTTGCATTAAACGGAGCTCTTACATATTTGGTTAAGTTAACTTTACATGGTTTCTTTAGGTTGTGAAAAGTTTAAAGAGGTGATTTTGGGGGCTTCTGTATCTGCATCACCATAAAGCTCCTTTTGCTAGGTTCCTTTAACCACACCCATTATTGTGCATTCACCTTTAGAACCTAGAGTAGTTTGTTGTAAAATTATCTGGATCACAAATGTCCAGCTGGGGTTCCTTGAATCCCCTCCCCTTGTTTGTTCTTCTCATCTAATTACTTTTTTTCGTAGGGGCTGAGGCACTTCAGTCAGTGAAAGTAATTCTTCCTCGTGTTTTTCTGTATTTTCTGGTCATATTACTTCTTTAGTGTCATCACATTTCTTCCATTTATTACTTAGCTCCAAGTTCGTTTATTATCTCATTAGAATCACCCAGAACTTGTGGTTCAAATCAGCATGTTACTTGTTTTTTCATTCAGTGATTTTACATACAAAGTAAAGAGAAAAGATTAGTTAGTTGGTCAAAGAGTTAACAAAAGTAGAAAACCATGAGCATCAAGGACTTCAATCTTTGACCACATACTTCCTTCCTTTATATATCAAAAGTTCAAATAGTGGTAAATTGCTGTGCGTACTCTCTGTTGGACTGAATAATAACCGAACTTATATTGTATCTTCTAATGTATTCTGGTCATGAATGGGATTCTTATGATTGTTGAGTCTCCCAATTAGATGTTAGCAGGGGCGGTAGCAGTTTCTCTGAGGCAGTAACGGTCTAATCATGAAATCATACTAATGGAAATCTGTTATCTTTGGAATTGGCCACTGACATCTTTGGGCCGTGTGTGACACACATAATAGCTTCAGACAGAACATTTAGGTCAGGTGTGTAAAGCTGATGCCATAGAGTTTTTCAAAGATGCAATTCATCAGAGAATGTCAATCTTGAAATTAGTGTTTGTGAGATAGTTAATCCTCTCTTTCTCTGTTTCTTATATGTTCTGGAAGCGTTTAAAATGTAATGTCCTTATATTTAATTTATTTTCATCTCCATTTACGTGTTTCTCTCTCAGCAGTTGTTTCTTTTGTAATCAATTTTATAATGTTTTCTTCGTAGGTTTCTTTGGGATATTTTCTTTCTGATCTCGCGATGATCTTTTGGTATTATCCTTCTTTAGGTGGACTGGAGTATGTAAGTACCTTTTGTTTTCCTTCAGCTTAATCTAGACTTGCATTTCCTTTGACTTGAAATATGAATTTCAACCTTTGTTTGGTGACTGAAGTATTTGTCATGCTTCTGCAGGTTGTTCATCACCTTCTTTCTATGTTAGCAGTAACATATGCAATATTGACGGGTGAGGGGCAGCTTTATGTGTACATGGTTTTAGTTTCTGAGGCAACTACACCTGGGATCAACTTAAGATGGTACTAATAGAAATATCAAAAACCGACTTGCTTCTTTACGAATTATCTTTTCCCACTTTCGATTTTCTTGACCAATGTTTTATGTCTGCAAAGGTATCTTGATGCAGCTGGATTGAAAAAGTCTAAAGCATACCTCCTAAATGGTTTCATGATGGTGTTTGCTTGGCTGGTATGTAAAGTATTTTCCTTTTTCTTTTTGTAATGACCAATTAAACTTTTTGTCTAGTTTTTGTTTTCTTTCGCTACTGTCTTTTATTACATACTAAATCATGGATCTTTATTGCAGGTTGCCAGAATATTGTTATTCATTTACTTGTTCTACCACGTCTACCTCCACTACGATCAGGTATATTCCAAATTAGTGACGAGATTCTAATGTTTCACCAACAACGTTACAACACCTGCAATTTTTTCCTTTGCTAGTTTTCTCGGTTTCTTTTTTGAATGATCTTAGTTATCCAAGTTTGAAGTGATAGACCAAAGAGCTGTACAATCAAAATTCTGCTGAAAAACAAAATGTTGTCAATACTGCCGCTAATCGATTTCTTTTCTCGGATTGAAACAGGTCAAGCAGATGCATTCATTTGGGATTTTACTGATATCTGTCGTGCCATCGGTTATTGGTGTGATGAACTTGCTTTGGTTTTGGAAGATTGTGAAAGGACTTATGAAGACTTTAGCAAAGAGGCAGTGAAGTTTGGACCAATTTCCATGATAATACATCAAATGCCTTTTTCAAAAACATGTACATTTCAACCTGGAAATTTCAACCCTGGGAAAAAGTAGTTTAGCAAATTCTGGGGTTTACATGAGGAAAAAATATTACTCAACTGGTTTCTTTCTGTACATAACAATTGGATACAGCAAGGCTTGACTTGCTGTTCCATCGATAAAAGGTCAACAAAAAATATTTAATTTTGTCTTTCTATTGTTTGATTTTCTTTTTACCTAGGTAAAGGAAGTAAAATTAGAGAGAGAGGAGGAGAGTTTAATTTGTGATTCTTGAATTGATTTTTAGGGAGAGGAAATAAATGGAAGCGCAATAAAAAGAAAACTTTTAAATGTCGTTAATTTTTCTTCTAAAAGAGAGGAAATGTTTTGTGAGAAAACGCTGGCAAATGGCAATGTCATTCAAAAAGAAAGAAAAAGGAATAGAAAAGGCCTCACACTTATTAACAAACAAATTTTTCATCAAAAGTGATAAGCACTTAAGGATTGTGACATGTCGGCCAATGAAGTAGGACAAGAATTATGATGTCTTAATCAAATTTTAATAGAGGCAAGAAATATAAAGTGATTTATTCTCGTTTGTCCAAGTTTTGGTGGATAAATTTTTATATACCTATATTAGGTGGGTGATAATAAAAATCTAATGAAATAGTCGAGGTGCGCACAATATAAGCTATTCTGGTGGAAAAAAAAAATTCTTTCACAAACTCTGTACATACACCAAACACAATTTTCTGAATTTCCATGTTCAATATCAGAGGAGGAAAAAAATTATGACTGTTCTGAACACAATCTTTATTTTCAAAAATTGAGGATATACTGATAGACAACTCTCTCAAAATATAGAAAAGGAAGGACCAAATTTAAGAATTAAATAATCCACTAGAATTTCTTTGTTCATTCGTACAAAAACTGCTGGGCGCCTAGATACAAATGCCAGTATTATTGCTATAGTACTACGTATAAAATAAGACAAATAATACTAGCTAGCTAGCTAGGGAACTACTCTATAGTCTATATTAGAATAATTAACAATAGAAACATGAGGAAATAGATAAATCTAGATTAATGTGAGAATTGTCCTTAGTAGAGTTGTCAGACTGGGAATTTTGATAATCATCCAAATTAGGCAAAAAATTGATCTCCCTTTCACATTCACCATCTTCTTCTTCCTTTGTCATTCCACTAGTTAAACTTCCTTGTGCTTCCTAGAAATCACACACAAAAATAATTTAAAAACTAATTACTTCTTCTATTTTATTTTATTTTATTTTATGTGACATACTTTTCTTTTTACTATATTTTCGAAAAAAAATGACACATTTATATATTTAAAAATAGTTTAACTTTAAATTTCTAATTTCACCCTTAATTACATGATTTTTATAGCCATGTACATAAGTTCGAAAAATCTTTCTTTTTTTTTCTTCTTATATTTCGTGAAGTCAAACACCTTCATATAAACGAGCCGGGTGCAGTACTTCTGATAAAAGCTGTCTATCAACCTTTATCTATATATCTTAGAGGAAATGAAATAAATCAGGAGTTAAAGAAGCAAATCAGACCTGGTAATTGTAGCAATATATATTTTCAGTAATTTGGTCACTATATTCATTAACTCCTGCTTTGTAAGAAAATTGACTTCCAGGTTCTATTTTCCTGCAAAATGTGTAGTGAAAAGTTAATTATCAGTGACAATTTTTTTTAAAAATAAAAAACATTCTTCATGAAATTTGATTAGTTCTAGAAAAAATTTTGAAGAAAATTTTTTAAGTTTACAAAAACTGGTTTGGGCCAGCTTTTGAGTAAAATCTTTTCTTCCACTCACAAAATTTTAACTTTTTTTCAAGTAAAATGCATGTCCAAAAACCAATTTCAATTATCAAAATTATTTTTCAATACAACTACAAACACTCTTTTTTCAAGTTTCAACCAAATCTATGTCGATCTAAACGCTTGAGACTATGGATAAACGCTTCTCTTTTGACTTTAATAGTAATCTTTTTCAAATAATAACATGTTATTGTTATAAAGCACATTAAATATGTCCTGAATATATTAGGATATCTTGGAGCAATATTTGAAGAACAAATTATAGCATTATTAGCTTCACTATGTCTATAGTTGCTAATACTAAAACCTACCAATTTCAGAAAAAAAAGAAGGGGGTTAATTTGGCCAGTTTTGTAAACTCGAGTTATATTACTAAAAAAATAAAAACTGAGCAGCAGAAGTGGCCAATTTAATCACCAGCCACCAGAATATATATAGTCAAACTTTAATATAACAGTTTTGTTTGTTCTGATATTTTGTTGCTGTTATTGTAAATTGTAAAGTGCTATTATAGGAAATATATATTATAATTTATAGCATAACATAAAAATTAATTAGTTCCCGAAAAAATTCAGCTATTATAGTAGAATATAATTATAAATGATGATGTTACAGAGATGTCTCGTTTAGGTTTTCTTAAGTCATATCAAAGCTAAAAGTGAGATGTAAAGTTTCTTATAATTTGTCTTATCTTCTTCTTTTCACCCCTTTCTTTACAAAAAGTGAGGATTAGGTAGAAATAGCCACTCAAAGTCTATGGAATTATTTACACTGAGTTGATTAATTAGCTGGCATATAAATGAATTTTATTCATAACCAAAAGTCATAGTGTTTTGGTAAGCTAATCATGCACTAATTAATGCATTGATATCCAGGTCTTTCTTTCTGCAGTCAAGTAAAGGGAATTAAAATTCATACTTAAAAAAAAAAAAAAAGAAGAAGAAGAAGAAGAGAAACAGCATCAAACTCTGAAATGTAGTACTAGCTGGTGAAATTAGATTCCATATGAGTAAAATTAAATTTCAAGATTATGAAATATATTATTTGTAATTTAAGACAGAGTTACAGTACCTAATTATTAAACTAGGTTGATACTAATTTTAAAAAAAAAAACAATGAACTAGGAGGATAATATGGAAGTGTTAACTCAGCGAGAGATATTAAAATATTGTTAGTTATTGCGAGAGTTGAGGTGGGACGGATCGGATCCCTCTATATATATTCGGGTTCGAGTTTTGGGAATAGATAATTAAATTCTGGTAGGGAGAACTTTCTCTTAGATGAGCCTCACGCAATATGAATTCGAATTAATCGGAACCCTTATACAGATTTGGAACACTAAATGAAAAACTAAAACAATATTTTTTGTTAAAAATGTGGAGATAGAGACTTACTGAGGGGAAGACGATCTAATAACATTGATGCTGGCTCGCTCTTTCAAGTTTCTGTACATCTGAACTTCCAGAAATTCAATCAAATAAAAAAAATGAGAAATTGAATAAAGCTTTAATTCAAAGACACCATATTAGTGGAATGGGAAAACAAAGAGAAAACCGAAAATTTAAGCCCCTCAAAAAGAAGACAAATTCAAAATAATTACTCAAGGGAAGTTATAATTGGTTACGTTGATAACTTTTTTGCTTATACATTTTTTTTGTTAATTTGCAACTCCTTTCAATTAAGCATTGGACTCAATAGAGTTTTAAAAGAAAAGGAAAGCAAAATAAATATTCTGATAAAAGAATTAAGGAAATTATATGCGTGACAACATGAAGGTTTAGAGTCCGTTTAGCTTGTTTTAAGCCGTTTTAAACTTATTTTAAGTATTTTATAACTTTACCAAACACTTAAAAAAACTAAAAAACTTAATTAAAAGCCAATCCAAACATTCTCCTAGAATAATGAGACAGCTCATCAGTAAACTGAATTTCAAGATTTTGAAGAATTATCTTTCAATAAATTAAAACTTCTAGGGTTAGCTAGCATGCTTCATACCTAAGCTAGTCACTTATCTAATAAAAATATCATATCCCAATTTCTGTAATTAATAAACAAAAAGAACACACACACACACAAAAGAAGTGTTACATTTTTTAATCATCTAACCTACGATTTAGTCTAGCTTCAATAGGCATCTGATTTTTACTGAAGTTTGTTGTGTTTGTAATATCATTACAATTAGGGTGTTATTTTTTGACAAACAGAGCTAAAGTTTAGGTTATGAGTTTGGTCGAACCAGTAATTTTGATCCAAATAATATAATTGTCTTAAGAAATTTATTTAATATTTATAAATTATTAATTTAAAATTTATTTCATAAACTTCAATTCCTAGCTCCATTCTAGAGGATAGGTCACCAACAAGTTACAAAGAATTTAAATTAAAGCTTTGCATTATGCAGCAACGTGATAATACCATTTGTTAATTATTCTGCACATCAAACTAAAGGAGCGAAATATGGAAATACCCTAAAATATGGAAATACCTACGGCAAACTGGTAGATATTAAATAAAATTGAGAGAAATATTGCGTTTGGATCATGTTCATTTAAAAAAAAGTGACAAGTCTTCTTTTTCGAAATAAACATACTACAGTATTAAGAAGAAGAAAAACTTGGGCATCATTAAATTCTCTTTTCTTTATAATTAACTTGGATTGCTAAAATGTCATGATTTGTATACTGGAAAATTCTGTTTCCAAGAAAATTAAAAGGACAGAAAATTATTCCATTTAACAAATTTTGAATTTGATACTGATATAACAAAGAAAAAACCATATAGAATATGCTAGGATATATAGTACCTGGAGATGGCTTTTAACATGAGAAATCTTCAACCCTTTTACTGCCATCATCTGTTGAATTCTCTTTGGAGTTGCTTCTGTCAAATTAAAAACCAACAAATTTTACTAATATATCATCAATTCATCATTATTAACTAATGACCATTATATATCCCATGTTTCTTTTCTATAAACCCTAACGTGATTCTTGCTCTTTATGAGTCCTGTGGCGGATGCAGGATTTCCATCAACGGGATTTAACATCAACTATATATATACATAAACCAAAGAATTGAACTTATAGACAATGTGATTTTCGGGAGAAGAGGGTTTGTGAACCCCGTTCGGTCCCCTAACCCCCCCTCCCAAACACACCCGCCCCTAAAAAAATATATAGCCTGGGGCGAAGCCACACTTTGGTTAGGGTGGTCAATTGACCGCCCTTTGTCGGAAGTATATATATAGGTAAAATATTAGGTCTTAGAGGTACATAACATATATTGAATACCATTTATCGATTTTTTTTTTACTTATTTCAAGTTTAAATATCCTTAAGAAAATTTCTGGCTTTGTCACTATCTACGGCTTTCGCCCTTTCTTAGCACTTCATATCTAAAGCCAAGACATCAAAATAATGAATTAGCTAGAAAGTGAAAAGGAGAACAAAAATGGATCAAGAAATAAACAACTAAACAGCTACAATATTAGAGGTAACCAAAAAAATAAAATAAAATAAATTATTTTTCTGTAGTTGGAAATCACTTACTGTCACTTCCTCCAAGATGTTCAACAGCTTCAATGAAAAGTTGATGAAGCTCAGGCGTCCATCTCAAACGAGGAACTGAAGATTTCTTGTACTGTCTAACCCTTGATATTTTCTGAGAACAACTGTTTTTCATTATTGAGAATTCCATCATCAAAACATAAATGGATTGGCCTAACTTGGATTATATATATTTATATATAGAGAGACATATAATTGGTTCCAACCAAAAAAAGAAAGAACAGAATATATTACGGCTAAGAGAGTCTGATATTATGGACTTTTCTTAGTATGTGTGGACTTTGGGTAACATCCTTTCATTCCTTGCCATTTCCTTTTCCTGTCACTTACGTTTCCATCAGTAGCGTACGCAGAAATTTTTGGTAAGTGGTAAAAAAACGAATAAATAGATTACTATAATGATAAGCAATGTTATTTTTATATTTATACTCAATATTTTCATTTTATATATTACCTATGTATACATATTTTTAATAAAACTTTCGACAAATTAAGCAGTATCACGTGATACCGCTTGATGCAAGGTAATATCCGCCCCTAGTTACTAGAAGCACATTCAAAATTTAAATTTTATATGTATGATTTTGAAATTATAGTATGTATTATATCTTATCCAACTTACTGGGTTCAAAATATAATATTTTATAATAATATACTGAGTTTTATAATATATATATATATATGTATACAGAGTCTAAACCAATACTATTGAATTCAAAGGAACACTAGACTGCAC